AGTTTTTTTTTTTTTTTTTTTTTTTTTTTTTTTTTTTTTTTTTTTTTATGTCTCTCTCTCCCTTCAGCCGGTTGGATTTTCCCCATCTCCCAGCACCTCGCAGGTCTCTCCTCTGAGCAGCCCGTTGCCTGAGCGAGTGGAAACGTACAGCTCAGCTGCAGGTTTCTGCCTACAGAGCCAGAGTGAAAGAGAAAGAAAAGGGTTGGGGAAGCAGAGACAAACACTGACCTGGACTTAGAGAAAAGACATCCAATGGCTGAATAAAGAACCCCTGTTCATGTTTTGGGATATTCTTTCAACTGGCTGGAACGAGAGCGGATCAAAAGAATGGGAAATGCCAGCAGACCCTTTAGAAGAATTGCTTATTTCTTATGCCTTTTATCTGTGCTTTTGCTGACTGAAGGGAAGAAGCCAGTGAAGCCAAAATGTCCTGCCTGGTGCACTTGTACCAAAGATAATGCTTTATGTGAAAATGCCAGATCTATTCCTCGCAGCGTTCCGCCTGATGTTATCTCACTGTAAGGGCTGTAAGCATTTGCTTATTTGATTTATGATTTAAAATGAAGTCGGCTGTGTGGTGTTTTCAGTGCGTACGGAGGGCTGGTTGCTGCAGGGAGCCCCCCCAGCATTCCGAGCCATCAGCTAATGTGTGAAAATTGTGCTGCATCCTTCAGTCCTGATTTTCACATCTCTCTCATCTGTCTGTCTGTCTGTCTGCACATATGCCATTTTATACCTTCTTCTATACTACATGAAACCTGTAACATGCATTTTTTTTGTGTTCTTGGTTTTTTTTTTTTTACTTACATAAATAAATTTCTCTGTGATGACCAGATGAGTATTATAACCATGGATATATGAGACTACATTAATATAAGGTTGTTTTTTTCTTCTTTCCAGATCCTTTGTGAGATCTGCTTTTACTAAAATCCCAGAAGGGAGTTTTTTGCTCACACCATCTCTGCAGCTTCTGTGAGAAATATTTATATGATACAATTTTTTGTTATGAAATGTGTATGTAGCCATGAATATTTTAGGAGGGGTCTGAGTATGAATTTCATAAAAAATGGCAGGAGAAGGTTCATTAGATGACGAAATAGAAGAGTTTTTAGCGATGTGGAGTCAGTGCATGTTTGATTGTTTCCAAGTGCATGTACCGGGCGCTGTGCGAGGCTGCGTGTTGTCGGGGCTGCTCGGAACGGTGACATGCTGGAGCTTTCAGTGACAGAGCGCATGCTAGCTTCATTAGGCGTTAATTAACATTACAGCAGGGACTTGAGCATTGCAACAACTATTCCTGTTTCTCTCTTGCAGTCCTGGGGCCTGATCCCAGTGTAAACGGGCCCGTTTGCAGCCTCCCCCACGCTGGCTGCGGGCTCGGCCCCCCCGGATCAGGCCCTTCCCTGCAGTGGGACGGGTCCGGGAGCCCCTCTCCCTCTAAAATTGCCATTGACTTCTGTGGAAGTTCGGTCCCTTCGGTGGGGGGGCTGTGCCTCCAGAGCGCCTGGATTTGACCCCGTTTGTTATTCCATGTTCTTGGGGAAAGAAAAAACCAACCCCCAAAAGTAATGATTGATTAAAAAATGTAAAGGGTTATTTCAGAGCGAGGAGCCGCCCGGGGGTGTAGGCAGGGAGGGAGTCTGGGGGGGTCTGTGGATGAGGATTTTTGCAGGCTCGGGGAGGAGTGTGGGCACGGCCTTACGTAAGGGTGAGCCATTCGGGGGCGCGGGGGGCACTGCCAGCCCCCCCACCGGGCCCCGGCCCAGCAGCCCGGGCAGACACCCCCGTGTCACCAAACCCAAAGGGGACGTGCCCGGGCTGCCCAGCCCTGGTGGGGGTGGGATGGGGTGTTCTGGGGCTGCATCCACCCATGCCCCTCGGCTACCTCCTGCGGAGCCCATGAGGAGGTGCAGACCTACGGGGGCTGGATACAGGGTAAATAGGTAACTGCCGTTACTATGGAAACCTAAATGCTTCTCCGTGGAGCTCTGTTGCCGCCAAGCTTTCTCCCAGGTGGTCACACATCACAAAAAGGGACATATTCCAGGCAGTGCCTGCAATGGGCCCTTCAGAGCAGGCACAGAAGGAGGAACCGGTGGGGCTCCCGTCGGGAGGGAGCCAGCAGGACACCCCACTCCTGGCTCCGATCCCCCCCCTCCCCTTGGCCATCCCGCTGCCGGGGGGACAGGCCTGGGCAGGGGGGTAGGACAGGCACCCTCTTTCTATCTGGAGTGATTGCAGCGGGGCCGTGCCCCCGGCGGTGGCCGCTGGGGTCCGAGCCGTGGCAACCAGGCAGGACCTGCTGTGTGCCCACCGACACGCAGGGGCCCGGCTGCAACACCTCCTCCTGCCCCAGAGGAGCGGGTTTCGTTCCGTGAGGGATCTGTTAAAATGGTGCCAAGAATCCACAGATTACTTACTTCTGCTCCCTGGCATTTCTAAAAATACTGCCCGACGCTTTTCCAGCTCTGTCTCTAACATGGTAGCCCAGCTGCTCGCCAGCCCCGGGGCGTCAGGCTCCGGGTCCCAGGCACACACAGACCAGGGGAGTGGGATCCCCTCTGTGGGGCCAATGCTCCAGTTTACAAGTGGGGAAGAAAAACTGCCACCTTTGGCAGGAGATAGCGAGGGAAATAATATGGAGAGCTCAGGCTAATTAAAAATGACAGTAAGTTTTAGCTTTGCACGATTCTAGAGCTGTGTTGGTAGGTTTAATTTAGCCAATAGCGAGAATCAGCAACCTATATGTATTTTTACATAATAGTCTAGAGCATTACATTTTTAGAGTCCAACTGTAATTGGGTCTCTCCAGGCACACGTTTCTAAGGGTGGAATATTCCCGCCTCTGTTATTATTTACTACTGGCGTGACTGTAGTAGTGGCAGTGGTCTCTGGAAGAGCCAGGGTCTCGTTGTGCTGCACACCAGGGTCCCAGGCCAGGAGAGCTTTTCCTCTAGAGCAGTGTGGAAGGACCGGCACGGCTACGGCAAAGTGCCAGCAGGAGCGTTCCCTCAGCGGGGAGAAACCCCCTGCTCCCCTCTCCAGCCCCCGTAACGCCCTGTACCATGGGCTGGGGCTGCCCTTATGGACAAGTGACATAGAAAGGAGGGGGGTAGTCGTGGCTGGAGGGTCCCAGAGCAGGCAAATCCGGGGTTTGAGGTCAGAGAGTGGGGAAAAAAGTCACTTTTGAGCATCGAATACGCGTGATCCAGCCGCTGGGGGGAGGTTTGGGATGGGAGGCAAAGCAGCTCCCCCAGTGCGAGACCCGTGCCCTGAGCCTGGCCAGCTCTGCATTAGCCATTAGCCCTGCTCTCTGAGAAGTTGCCACCCTCTCGCTGCGCTCCCAGCGCGCAGGAAAGGAGAAATTACCCAGTGGCATCACATCAGAAAAGTGAAATTGGTTGCAGGCAGCAGATTTACTAACTTGGTCTCCTGCTTTAGAGATTTTGCCAAATCACTTATTCCCTCTAACAAAAAAATTTCCTGCTTATATTTTTTGTACAGATATAGGAGCGTATTTAAAGTGGCAGAAGCAGAGTCTGCAACAGCCAAGTGAGAAAATAAACCAACTGCAATTTATTCTGAATGCAGACTTCAAACTACAAGATTAACTCATTAACTGTATTAATTCGTACTTGGAAATGTTGAATTCCTGAATGCCTGAGGATGTCATAGTGTAAATCTATTTATCCATCAGGTCCAACTGAATAAAATATAGATGTGTCTCTAGTATTCCTCTGGGGTAAACTTCAGTGCATCACACTTGACAGTGCCTCAGCATACAGTAAGGGTGTGATGGTCCAGAGCTCAGTTAAAGTGGACAAATGCAAACATGGCTGCTAAGCATAAATAAAGCTGGAAAAAACAGCGCTTTTTCCAGTCCACTTTTAATGCTTATAAAATGACATAAAATAAAGTGTGTTGATGGTATTTTTACTGCTAGATGGATGACAGATACATGCACAGACCCAGAGCTATCTCCAGCAGGTATAACGTGGTCTTAAAAATAGTTCTGATTTGAACGCTGACTAAATGAAGAGATTTTACGTTTTTTTGTCAGTAACTTCCCAGTACCCTCAGGTCAAATACGCTCACTGAGTCGAGGGATTTCCCTGCCTGTCGGCGGTGTGAATCCAGCCGCTCTCTGGAGCAGCAGCCGGGTGCTTGCCCTGGGCTGACAGGACCTGTCTGTTCTGCAGCACAGGTCACAGCTCCCCTACTCCAACCAACATCTCATTGTCTCCAGCGGCGCTCGTACAGTCCCAGTGTTTGACTGGCACAACAAACCCACGCCTACGTCCCACAGAAGTCAATGCAATTTTATCAGATGGCCCTGGTAGCGAAAGCAACAAGTTGTTGGGTCCTTCCCTTTGCACCAGCCCGTGGTGCAGCCCATGGGGCTTGCGCTCCTGGGCTGGCACCCCACGGCCCGTGACAGTGGGGAGGTGGCCACCGTGGTTTGCTGGACCATTTTCCAAAGGTGCCAATAACCTAACGGTCTTCTGTTTCGCATCTCTCTATGCAGGTTGTTTACATCCAACACTTTTGATGTTATTAGTGACGATGCCTTCATGGGCCTTCCTCACCTAGAATATTTGTGAGTGGACAAATGTCTATTTTGTGGCATTATTGAGTGGAGTGGGTGGGCTTCCAAGTTCCAGGCATTGCTTTAACCAGAATGACTTTACGACCCCTTACAGGTTCATAGAGAACAACAGCATTAAATCAATTTCAAGGAATACTTTCAGAGGACTGAAATCTTTAATTCACCTGTAAGTACAGCAGTTGAATATGTTGCTTGGTATGTTTAATGTCATAACGGAGCCACTGTGTTGTTTCTTTGCGTTTTGATGTATAGCTGTTCGCATTTGTTTAGGCGATATTACTAGCAGTTTAATTGGAATGTTAATCTTTGTGTTTCCACAAGAAGTAAGGGAAGGAGGGTAAAGCATCGGGAGCGTGCCCGACATGGGGTTATACCCAGCCCTCAGCATCTGCATCCTGGAGCATTTATCTGGGGGTGTGTGTCATGTCAGGGGAGTGGGTTCTGACCTCCTGGCCTTAGCACAAAAACCTCCAAGAGCGTTCGGAAACACGGTCATTTAACTTCTTCTTTCATATGTTTTGACAGAGGAGAGAAAGAAAAGGTTCCATCTTAAATACTTAATGCATAAATACAGCAGTTGAATTGCAGTTCACCACATCCTCCACCACATAGTAAATGTACCATAAAACACTTACTCTTCCCTTTTTGGTCAGAAGAGACAAGACTCGGGGCTGGCTGACACCCAGCCTGCTGTGACCACTCCTCTGTATAGTCACTGAGAGAATGGCTCGAGGGGAAGAGGAAAGAGGGGGAAAAGGTAATAAACAGGCTGTGCAAATCCCATTAAAATCCCCATTAGAGGTATAGGCATAATGACAGTATTGTTAAAAAAGGCAGATAATTGGATAAGGCTGGTAACTGGGACCCTGTCTTCAAAATATTTATGCACATGAATAGCTTTATATTCACAAATGGGTCCAGTACATTATTTATCATATTCATTTACTTATTTAGTAGCCGTTGCTGCCAGGGAGCAAATTGCTCTTCTTCAGAGAGGAAGGCGCAGTTTCTCCTCCGCAGAGCACACAGCCCCAGAGCAACCCCCGTCTGCCCCGTCCCGCTGGTTCCTGGGGTGCTTCAGCACTTCCACCAGAGCAAACACCTGCCGGACAGCCGGGTGGTTTGCCTGTGGCTGCGTGGATGCTTTTGGGCCACAGATCTGTGCATGGTGCTGCCGTTGCCCGTGGGGCACTATTCCTAAGGACAATGAGGAATTTGCAGACAATAACTGCACCATTAACCACAGAAGGTGCCCGGTTTGATCTGCTCCCAGAACCGCTCCCCACCCCTGGGGCCCGTGGTGCAGCCCATGGGGCTTGCGCTCCTGGGCTGGCACCCCACGGCCCGTGACAGTGGGGAGGTGGCCACCGTGGTTTGCTGGACCATTTTCCAAAGGTGCCAATAACCTAACGGTCTTCTGTTTCGCATCTCTCTATGCAGGTTGTTTACATCCAACACTTTTGATGTTATTAGTGACGATGCCTTCATGGGCCTTCCTCACCTAGAATATTTGTGAGTGGACAAATGTCTATTTTGTGGCATTATTGAGTGGAGTGGGTGGGCTTCCAAGTTCCAGGCATTGCTTTAACCAGAATGACTTTACGACCCCTTACAGGTTCATAGAGAACAACAGCATTAAATCAATTTCAAGGAATACTTTCAGAGGACTGAAATCTTTAATTCACCTGTAAGTACAGCAGTTGAATATGTTGCTTGGTATGTTTAATGTCATAACGGAGCCACTGTGTTGTTTAACTTTGCATTTTGATGTATAGCTGTTCGCATTTGTTTAGGCGATATTACTACCAGTTTAATTGGAATGTTAATCTTTGTGTTTCCACAAGAAGTAAGGGAAGGAGGGTAAAGCATCGGGAGCGTGCCCGACATGGGGTTATACCCAGCCCTCAGCATCTGCATCCTGGAGCATTTATCTGGGGGTGTGTGTCATGTCAGGGGAGTGGGTTCTGACCTCCTGGCCTTAGCACAAAAACCTCCAAGAGCGTTCGGAAACACGGTCATTTAACTTCTTCTTTCATATGTTTTGACAGAGGAGAGAAAGAAAAGGTTCCATCTTAAATACTTAATGCATAAATACAGCAGTTGAATTGCAGTTCACCACATCCTCCACCACATAGTAAATGTACCATAAAACACTTACTCTTCCCTTTTTGGTCAGAAGAGACAAGACTCGGGGCTGGCTGACACCCAGCCTGCTGTGACCACTCCTCTGTATAGTCACTGAGAGAATGGCTCGAGGGGAAGAGGAAAGAGGGGGAAAAGGTAATAAACAGGCTGTGCAAATCCCATTAAAATCCCCATTAGAGGTATAGGCATAATGACAGTATTGTTAAAAAAGGCAGATAATTGGATAAGGCTGGTAACTGGGACCCTGTCTTCAAAATATTTATGCACATGAATAGCTTTATATTCACAAATGGGTCCAGTACATTATTTATCATATTCATTTACTTATTTAGTAGCCGTTGCTGCCAGGGAGCAAATTGCTCTTCTTCAGAGAGGAAGGCGCAGTTTCTCCTCCGCAGAGCACACAGCCCCAGAGCAACCCCCGTCTGCCCCGTCCCGCTGGTTCCTGGGGTGCTTCAGCACTTCCACCAGAGCAAACACCTGCCGGACAGCCGGGTGGTTTGCCTGTGGCTGCGTGGATGCTTTTGGGCCACAGATCTGTGCATGGTGCTGCCGTTGCCCGTGGGGCACTATTCCTAAGGACAATGAGGAATTTGCAGACAATAACTGCACCATTAACCACAGAAGGTGCCCGGTTTGATCTGCTCCCAGAACCGCTCCCCACCCCTGGGGAAACGGCGCAGAGAGGTGAGGAACCATCACCGGGCACCCTGGGGCATCGCTCATTCCAGAAACAGGAGCCTGCTTGTGTACATCACATCTGTTAAAAAGAACCCTAGTAAATATGCATACAAATGAGCTCCATGAAGTCAGAGGAGAAGATGGACTTTGTTCTATTTATTCTGTTGGCTTCCCTCTCACCAGGTAACTGTGGCAATGCAGGAAGCCACCCAACCACACGTATTGTTATACTGCAGCTACCTTTGATAATCTCAGTGTGTCCTGTTTGTAAAAGGGAGCCACCTTGTATGTTTCAGTACACAACAATTTGTGTTGTGCTTGGAGCAGATTTAAGAGAAGGAAAATTAAAGAAAAATAGCATACACCCCCCAAATAGATACACACACAAATAGATACACACCCCAAAGAGGTGCTCGGGAAGCAGTGAGGTCAGAAGGGACTATCGGCATCATCCCCTATTTACTATTCCTGAATTTAAGTATATGCCTAAGTGGCTTTGCTTGGCTAGAGAAACTGGAGATAATAACTTTTTATGTTTACAGGCGAAAACAGAAGGGCTTCTAAGTCTTAAGACCTACAGGTTCTAACTGGGGTCCTAAACTAGAAACATTTCTTTCCATTTTCATGTCTTCTCAGAAGTAGTAAATAATGCTGTTAACCCAAAGAGGCATAAGCTGTACCCTACAGCATTATTCTTTTCCTGCCCTGCCCTCAGTGACATCTCGGGGACCCCGGAGCTTTGGTGGCCTCACCCGGCGGTGTCTGACAGAGATGTGATATGTGGCTGGTGTGGGGCCGGCTGGCATCACCCCTCACTCTTCCCAGCTGCAAAACCAGTACAGCTGAATTTAAACGAGATCTCCCAACATTCAAAACTGGGAATTAATGGCAAGCTTTTGCTGATCACACACACACACACATATTCCAGGAAAGGCATTCACACTGATCAGCGATTTCTTGTCCATTAGCGCTGATTTCCAAAAACCATGAGCTCAGCCCAAGTCCAATGGAACGAAGCTTAGTATTGAGATTTTGCTTCCAGAAGAGGTACAGGAAAGCGGGGAAACTGCAGTAATGTGCACACCACGTACTGGTATCATCATCAGTAGATGCCATTGTGACTAATTGTTTTAAAATAGTGGTGTTGGCGAGCCCCCAGTGGTGATTGCCCTGGCTTTTGCCTGCCGAGGGAAGCTCTGGAGATGCTGCAGAGCCAGGAAGCAGGAGGAGACACGGCGTTTCAGTGGAAGAGAGAGTCACAAAGTACACGAGCTGTTCTTAAAAGCAGCCTCGCACAGCTAAGTGCTGGAGAGTGCCAGGGGTCTTTTCTTTAAGGAAAAAAGCCCATACAGTATTACTACACTTTGCAAAAATGTGTGATTTCATGAACTAGCGCTGATGCTGAAGTGTCTTCTTTTCCAGGAGTCTCGCAAATAATAATCTCCAGTCGCTTCCAAAAGACATATTCAAAGGCTTGGATTCTTTAACAAATGTGTAAGAAAGCAATTAATTAATCTATTAATTATATGAAAACTATAAAGAGGGGGTTTTAGAGGACATTGTGAGCGACCATTCAAACCAAGAGCCAGTAATGGGATCCTTTTGCTGGGCAGAGACTACCCCATATGGGTGTGCTGGGGTTTTGTCTGCTGGTGTTGGTAATTTGCTTTAGTTTGGAATATTCCACCGGTTATGAAGATAAGTAATATTGGTAGTAGCTGTTCAAGAGAGCTGCATGTTCATTAAGAGTTAGTGGGTGAGAAGAAAGGGATGCATGAGAGAGTGTGGCATGAGGGGAGGGTGGAAGATACTGAATGGAGTGACGTTCCTGTGTGTAAGTCATTTGTGGGAAGGTGATCTTTGATCACAAAAGCATGGCTCTGAGTACATACCCTATCCCATACTAAAGCTAACCGCAACCAAAACATTAACCCCAGTTTAAATAGATAATTTAAATACCAGGAAAAATACAAAATAGAGAGTGGCAGGGGAATCCTGCAGTTGCTTCGCTGAAATGTGTCCTGTTGACAACACACCGAGTTCTCTGCCGCCTGACCTGGGCTACCGAGTGCAGGACGTGGCTTGCCCGCTGGCTGTAAGGGGGAGGTGGGCTGCAGCCTGCCCTGGCAGGGCCCTTCGCTGGTGTCTCCTAACGCCCAAAATGAGTGTACCTAAGGGAGACACCATGTCCTGACTGAGTGACCACATGTTGTGTTAATCCCAGTCTGGGTCACGAGAACGCTCTTACTGAGAAAGGCTAATCCCAAAGGAACAACCTCCCAAAACGTGGGGCCAGCAGGTGGAAGGCTTGTGGGCACCTGTAAACTTGGGAAATCAGCAAAAATTTCCTACTGATATCAAGCTGATTTCCCTAACAGAATTTAATCCATGTGGGTTCTGCTGTGTAGTCTGAAGTATGGGTCAGGACCAATTAAACCAGGAAGTCATTAATTGAGAATAAGCAAGAAGGCCCATATTTAACAGGGGCCCAGTCTGTTGTTGTCCCGCGAGGAGGAAACCTCCGCCGAATCCTCTTTGTCAGTGTGTGATTTGTTGTTGTAGGGATCTCAGAGGCAACGCCTTCAACTGCGACTGCAAACTGAAGTGGCTGGTGGAGTGGCTGGGCAGCACCAACGCCACCGTAGAAGACATTTACTGTGAAAGCCCACCAGAGTACAAGAAGCGAAAAATCAACAGCCTCTCCCCAAAAGAGTTCGATTGCATTATCACAGGTAAATGTGCTTCCAATTATTTAAACTTGTTAAATTAAAGCCACAAAGCTACATATGTTTTTTTATTCTAGGGTCCATTTTTGCAGGAGGTCTGTGCACGGGATGGAGCTTCCACTAAAATCCATAGGAATTCTGGGCAGGTGTAAGGCTGACAAGCGAATCACTTAGGGTCCTGTATTGCAGCTTCTGCTCAGACTTTAATATGCTGTGTAAAAATTTGGAGAACTGGGACATAAACCGGCACCTCTTTTAATTGAAAAGCAAGTTGGAGTGCTCCTTTATCAACAGGAAAACTGGACTAGTGGGGAAATACTGTAATTTGTAATAAATTGGTAACTGCTAAGCAGATGTTTTTCAGTCCACCATGGAAAGCATCTCTGTAATTATCACGTTGTGTGCACTTTTGCAGAGTTTGAAGTTTATCAGTCCCTGCCGTACCAGTCTCTGTCAGTAGATACCTTCTCATACATGAATGACGAACACGTGGTTATTGCTCAGCCTTTTACTGGAAAATGCATCTTTCTGGAATGGGACCATGTAGAAGTGATGTTCAGGAACTACGACAACATTACAGGTACAAACACTGCTCCACAAGTCACGTTGCCACAGCCCGCCCAAAAGTGGTGCTAACCCTCTCTTTTGCTTTTGTTTTTCCAGGAACTTCAACTGTTGTGTGTAAGCCTATAGTTATTGAGAGTCAGCTGTATGTCATTGTCGCCCAGCTCTTTGGAGGCTCCCACATATACAAAAGAGATATTTTTGCTAATAAGTTCATAAAAATCCAAGATATTGAAATCCTTAAAATCCGAAAACCCAATGACATTGAAACGTTCAGGATTGCCGAAGACTGGTATTTTGTTGTTGCAGACAGTTCAAAAGCTGGTTTCACCACGGTTTACAAATGGAATGGGAATGGATTCTATTCCCATCAGTCTCTGCACGCCTGGTACAGAGACACTGATGTGGAGTATCTTGAAATATCCGGCAAACCACATTTAATTCTGTCAAGTAGTTCCCAAAGACCTGTCATATATCAATGGAACAAAGGATCGAATGAATTTGTTAAGCGTTTTGATATCCAAGATATGGAAGATGCATACGCAGTGAAACATTTCAAGGTGAAAGAGGACGTATACATTTGCTTAACAAGATTTATTGGGGACTCTAAAGTAATGAAATGGGGTGGCTCGGCATTTCTGGATTTACAAAGGATGCCATCCCGAGGGTCAATGGTATTCCAGCCGCTTCAGATCAGCAATTACCAATATGCCATTCTTGGAAGTGATTATTCTTTCACTCAAGTCTATTATTGGGATGCTGAAAAGGCAAAATTTGTGAAGTTTCAAGAATTAAATGTGCAGGCACCAAGATCTTTCATACATGTCTCCATTGATAAACGAGATTTTCTCTTTGCTTCAAGTTTTAAGGGAACTACACTGATTTATAAACATGTCATAGTTGACTTAAGCGCATGACACTCCTAATTCTGAGATTACATCAGACTTTCTACCATAAGTGGACAAAATGAACTAAATGCATGACGACTCTCGTATCTTACTTCCAAATGAATGCCTTTAAAAGTTGAGATTGCTAGAACAAAGTATTACTAGTATCTTCATCTTTAATTGTCAAGTCTAGTGGTGTTGGAAGTTGCATTTTTTAACAAAAAGAAATTAAATTAACTGTTCTTTGCATCCACAGTATGTAAATATGTGTGCAACTGCATCTGTTGCTATAAAGAATATTAAGATGTACTTTTCCATTTATTTATTCACCTGTTTGAAACAACTGCCAAATAAAATGTTTACATTTTGTGTCTTTAACATTCCAAATATTATTTGCAGGTGATACTTTTTATTTGTGTATGTATTATACACATACAAAACAAACCCAAGGCAGCATATTGCCCAATGCGGCGGCGTACTGCATAGAAGGTGCACAATACTGAGGAGCAGGTGGGTTTTACATATAACTAGAAGTTTGTGATAAAAATACAGCCTTGAACCCCAATCCTATAATAAATCCTTGCATTTATGTGAAGCTTCGCTGATTTCAACAGGACTCCACCCAGTAAAAAGGGTTGTGTCACACAGATCAGGTTGTAGGATGTTCAGTTATATAGATCCAGTTGTAGGATGGGGCTTTGTACTGTGTAGAGCTGAAGTTCCTGATTTTTTAAAAAATTAGAAAGAAATCAACAGAGTAAAAGCTGCTGTAAAGGTCTATCTCTCTCCACCTCACAGTGAAGCAGCACAACCCAAATCCCTGGTATGCCAGTGGGGCTGTCGCTGTGCCGAAAGCGTCCCAGCTGGCACCGCTTCTCTAGCTGCACATCACTTGCACCAATTCTGTGTCCCTGACGAGTCTTTCCACTGCAGCGTCCCAGCTGGCACCGCTTCTCTAGCTGAACTCTCACACATCACTTGCACCAATCCTGTGTGTCCCTGACGAGTCTTTCCACTGTAACCGCAGTTATTTAATCTGCAATGAATTTATTAATTACTTGAATGAGTGTAGTGAATGTGAAGTCGTCTTATTCCACTGTCCTGCCATGAAGTTTAGTCACAGATACCTGTGAAGCTGCGGGAGCGCTGACCGCGGCAGGACGGACTGAGCTGGCGCGGTGCGTGCACCTGCGGGGAGGCTGCCTAGATCCATGAAATTGTGCCAAGTCTGAATCTGGCATGGAAATCTGCTACCAACTCAGAGTTAATAGTCTTTTGTTTACATACAACTAGTGCATCCCTTGTGAGAAACCAACGCTGCTGCTGAAGATCATTTGCACTTGAAATCATCAAACCTCGTGCTTCAGCGCCATCTTAAAAATACACCCAGGAATACTGCCTATGTTTATACACATTTCTAACATTTCTCACATACTCAGGAGCTGGTGGGCAAATCAGACGTACAGCCCGTGCCTGTCAGCTCATCACACGGGCTGCTTCTGAGCCCGGCTGCCCCCCACACTCACAGAGACCCCGGAAAGGCAGAGCAGTTGCAGCCTCAGTCACTTCTCCTTGGCTTACACTGCTGCTGTTGGTACAGCAAAAGAGTAACCGTTATGGAAAAAAGGCATATAATGTGTATTTTAAGAAGCTGCTCCTAAACAGTGTGTGGTTTTTTACATCAAATGTTATGTGAAAAGAAAAAAAAATCCCACACGAACAGTGCGCTCTAATAAGTTAATTTTTCTGATGCCTTGTTATCCACAGCTGCCTGAGCTCTGGCCAGTATTTGGCTTAATAATTACCTGTTCTATAAATGCTTACAGTGTGATCAGAAGGATTTTAAACTATGTTTCACAGCTGAAACCTTCAATTTTTTTCTTAACAAATACATTTTCAAAAATCATCTTGGTAAGTCATCACTCCCTTGACAAGTTTCCTTTATAAACCTTTAGCTTTCATATCAGTGTGATGTCAAAGCCCAAAGGGACCCCATCACCTCTTTGACTGTTTCTCAAGGTTGGCTGCACGACGGCGATTGCCAGCGAGGTTTGTCCATCTCCCCAATCCACCATGCACGGCAGGGGAGTGACCTGGAGAGTCATGAACCCATCTCCAATCTGCCAGCAAATCGGGAAGGGGTTTCTATTTCAGTTTGTCTTTTGTTTGGGTCTTTTACCTACAGTCCTATTGAATGATGTACACCTGATCTCTCCCGTCACACTCGCCTGCACACACTCTCTGTGATTTGATAATCACGTAAATAATGGCTGTGTACCCTTCTCATTACGGACACATTATGGACATGAGTTTAACTGGAGCTGGGGAACCTTGCTAATCTGCTACCAGCATTTATCCCCATCGCTGTACCCCAACAGACTGCCTGACAGTTGTACCTTGAGAAGGTGATAAGCCATGGAACTGTATCTCAGAGCCAGCCAGCCCCCTGCCCTGGGACTGTGTTCTGAGGGAATTTATTCTGGAATAATGCAACAGACTGATGAGAATTCCTCACTACTCCTGGGTTTAAAGGAGGAGTTTAAAAGCCTGCAAAGGGTGTGAACCAGCAGAATTTTACATTCCCAACACCTGTAACACCAAGCTGTGACACAATGCAGGGTGGGAAGGGATTCACCTGCCGGGTAAGTACACAACTGTGTTCTCACTTTGGTTGTTCCCTCAGGAAATTTCACCTGGAGTTGAGCACTGATGATCTGGGAGGTTCTTAACACCCGTGTCATTTCTGGAAGGTCGACTGACACTATGGAGTGCTGAATCTGAGTCTGTTCTCTTCTGAAACCCCCTTTCTCTAGTCAATTCATGTCGGGTGGAGTTTCACAGGGACTACAGGCAGTTTCTTATTGTGCAAGTATAGCGTTTCCTTGCACCACACAAGGAACTGGGATATTTTTAGAACAGAACTCATTATCTTTAACGTAGATGAGCATAAAGCCTCATTAGGTGACTCCCTTTGCCGTTTCTTCCTAATTTCAGAGACAGGGTGTTTTAACAGCGTAAGGCCATTCTCCATCCTGGTTCTCTGCTCAGTTTCCCTTCTGGTATCAGTGGGAGTCCCAGACAAAAACTGAAATAGGACCTTTTATCATATATACATTGACACTTTTTCTAAATGTTGTTTAAAAAAATCCATTTCTGTTAGCAAAATCTATGTTACTTGTGGCTGACAGGTTGTCTTCTGCAGTTGTAATGGATTTTCTGAACTGCCCAATCGTTTTGTTTATGACTGGCAGAGTATGTAAAGCACTAAAAGTATCAGAGAAGACAATATGAAGGCTATTAATGGATCCTGCTGATGCTTGATGCTGCTTAGTCATGGTAATGTCTGAGACAGAAAAAACTGTTAATGGAATTGTATTGTGTTCCTACAACTACTTCATTATCTTCTTAATGGAGCACATATATAAAAGAATATACACTTATCTATCCTGGAAGGGATATATAAAATACATTCCGAATACCTGTGATTACACCATGTGTAGCTTTCTTTTCTTTGCTGTTGTAATGTCTAGGACTTGCATTTGTTTCTACTTGTTTTCCATTGAAAAAATATTCTTCCTACTAAGAAGAAAATTCAGTAAGGAAAATCCTTGTTCTGTAAGGTAAAAACCAAACAGAAACAGGGACAAATTGTATTATTGGTTTGGAGTTGCATTTTAATTATAACTTCTTTTAATTATCTTATTTTTATTTTTAAAACCTTATTTAAAAGGGTGATAACGGCCATTCGAAGTACACTTTAAAATGGGAAACAATTATTAGCACAGTTAATAATATGTGATATGCTTTTATATGTTCTAGTGGGAAGGTAATTGTCCAGCAGCTGTATTTATGTATATGAGCATTACAATGTGTTGTGTGAGCATTCAATGAAAAATAAAGAATATTCAAAGCACAGAAGTAACAAACAGTCCTCAGGCTGTTGATGGACACTGCTGGTAATGGCACCAAGAGAAAGCAGAGGAGTCAGCATAGGGACAGGACATAAACCCACAGCAAGTCTCCAGAATCCAGGATTCTTCCTTTCCAAGGAAATATTTTCCTTACCATGAAACACCTAACGTGTTCCTCCTCCGCAGGGACCCTTGAAAATCCAGATCTTACAAAATATAGCAAGAGGCTTTACAAACTGAGCGTGGCAGCAGAGCTGTGATTTAGAAGCCCGTTGATCAGCAAGGCTGAACGTGGTGTTGTGGTCAGGAACTGACCTGTAACTGTTGAGGGCTTGGGGTGCCTGATTCCTCAAGATGGAGCCGGGGTCCACTGTGGACTGACTGTGAATGGCAACTTCTCCCCATGGCTGGGGACTCCGCATTCCAATGGCTGTGCTACAGCCACGTCTGTGTCTATTATAGTCCTCTTGAACCAAGTGCCCAGGGGCCAACCCAACCCTACGCCTGTTCAGGAACTTTCCCGACACAAACTGCAGCTACAAAGCCCTCCAGTGTGCTCTACAGAAGTGGGGTTGTATTTGGGTTTGAGACTTTGAATTTCTCCAATTAGTTATGCTAGTGTAATACTTCTGTCTTCAGATTTGTTACAGCAGAAAACAATTTGCCCCCAAATGTGCATATTTACATTCATATAATTGTTTATTTATTCTCCAAATAAACTGAAGTGGATGATTGCGATAATTAAGTTACCGTTCCCAATCTCCCGTTCAGAAATCAATTTTTGAATTCTCAAAAGCTGTTTTCAACTCAGCCTTACTTTCTGCTTCCTACTGAATTACTTCAATTGAGAAAGGACTTTCTGACCCATTCTCGCTTCCTGTTGGAAGGCCTGGATGGCGACAGCAGCATGTTAGCGAGTTGTCAACCTGCCCAGATGGTGAATATCCAAGAATGCTGAAAGAGCTTCAGAATAAACAGGCTGATCTGCTAAGAATACACAGTCCTTCATTAAAAACCATTTATGTGCAAAAGAACTGGAAGTAACAAATATTGTGTCTGTTTTTATAAAAAGTTCATGGGATAATCAGCAGAGTTTCAGACCCGTAAGATCCACATTTATATCTGGTCTAATGTCTGGAATGATAACAGAAAATGGAAGTGTAAAATTTCAGGAGAAAGGTGGTAACTAAACTAGCGGGACAGGCTGCCTAGTGCAGCTCAGGGTCCAGAAACGCAGAATATTATACATAGAAAAGAAATGCTCACAAGGTTTAAAATGAGCAGTAAAGAACAGCAACCTGACATTGTTGTGAACGACTCGGCAAGACCCTGATCTCAATGTACAGTGACAGGAGAAAGCAAATAACGTTACAGGATGTGCAGGATATAGGGAGGATACACTACAGGGCATTTCCTGCTTTCTGTGAGACACTGCATGCACTACTCATGCAGCCAGCTCAAAAATCATACAGCAAA